CAAATAAAAAGCAACATAAAAGAACTTCTCTCACTTACATCTCTCATTCAGATGTCTCTCAGACATTTCTTTTACTGTGTATTAAGGGAGACAACCAAAAGGATAAAGAATTATCTCCCAAACACCCCCTCAAAAACACGAAAACAAACCTGTTGCTGTTGACTCTGACTCATAGAGCTCTTATAAGACAAGAGTAGAACTGCTCCATAAGGTTCCCAAGGAGTGGCTGGTGGATTCGAACTGCCGACCATTTGGTTACCAGCCAAACGCTTAACCACGGCACAACAAGGGCTCTGAATCCTCTCCCAGAACCATGAATTTGTGAGTCACCTAACAACACATGCTACAGAATTGCTGATACACGAATAAGGCATCAAACTGCCTGCACAGCCCCTTTAGTAATAAATTATTGATATATCCATCATTTTCTCTTAAATGTAGATTAATTATAAAAAATAATAAAAACAGAATTTTTATATGTTATGAGTGATATATACATACTTTTCATATTCAAATGCCGTCACCCTCTCAAGTTCTATAGCTTCTAATGCAATGACACAAGCATGAAATCAGAATGATTGCTGCTTAATGATAATAAAAAAATGCTACCTTAGAATAGGTTATTTGTGAACAAGTAAAAAAATCCTTTTGGGTTAAAACAGTTTTTCTTTTGGAAGGGCTAGACTGCAAGAAAGGCAACAGAAGATTCCTGTTTTCTATCTTTCCTTATCTAATTTCTTGAAAGACGAAATTTGTCTTACGTGGATTCCACGCACCCTGATATCAGAAGGATGAGCTAATGAAATATAATCTTTGAGCAAATTTTAATTGATTCCCCATGGAAGTAAATACTATCTAAATGTGAAACAGTGCAATAAAGTAGCTAATTACATTGATGAAATTTATAGAAATATCTAATTATTACCTTTGGGCCACATCGCATTCCAAAAAAGTCACATTCCAGCAAAGTGCTATTGTTGAGATAAAAACCATTTTTCTTGACAAACTCCATAGTGCTGAAGTTTTGGTTACTTGTAAGAAAATCAATAGCATTTTTTGAGCCGATGGAATTGGCACTGATTTTCTGCAGTTGGAGGACTTCGGATACAATATTCCGCAAGAAAAAAACAACATCAAATTTGGCCACAGGATCTGTTTGGAATCTATTTGTAGGAATAAAGGCAATATTTATACTAAGAAAATCTTGTAATTACTCATAGAACAGAGTTCAAACATCTGGAGCCTATCAGCTTTTCCAGCTTATGTCGCATACTCTCCCTCATTCATACTGCATGCAACAAAATTGGATTCCTAAGAAGTTTCTAAATATCCTACAATTTACCATGTATTTGTACATACAGTTTCATTTACCTGGAATTCTCCTCAGACATAGGTCTGGATAAATCCTAACTGATCTTTAAGACCCAACTTAAATGCAGAGGCAGAAATGTGTAATTGGAGCCAGATTTTCTGGGTTCAAAGGCCAGCTCTGCCATTGTTGTGACTGTACTGTATCTGCTTAGCTAAGCTGGAACTGTATTTCCCAAAACTCCCTTCATTGCATATACCCCGCTACACTCCAAAGTTCATTGTAGAGCAGGAGCTGTAGTAGCTCACAGACATTGTTGCTGATCTGCTGACTCAACTGGTTGGCAGAGGGCAGCAGCCAGGACTACAGCAACTCCAGCTCCTGTCAGATCTTCTCCTTCAGTTTTTTGAAACCCTGGGTCAGGTGAGAGTGTCCCTGAGTGGACAAAGTACTAACTTATCCTGGAGGTCACTCACACCATTAAGATCAGAGGTAGTGAGAGAGAGACACATTTTCAGCTTGTAGTGGTCTCCCTCACTTCACATCCATCTTCCCATCTCCTGGGCTGACTTCAGATCCAGAACTGGAAACAGAAGCAATGGACTTACAAAGACGGCTTAACCAATCCTTACCATTGAGTGAGGCCCAATTCCTATAATAAATCACTTATTTGATATCACTCCTAGTGATTCTGCTTCTGATTGAACCCT